CGGACAGCGAGTCTCCTGCAGGAGTTCAGCTGGGAGGTGTTTGATCATTCACCCTACAGCCCGGACCTCGCTCCCAGTCATTTCCATCTTTTCCTACACCTCAAGAAATTCCTGTCCGGTCAGCGTCAGCGTTTTGAGAATGACAGAGAGGCGGAGATGGTTGTCACACAGTGGTTCCAATCCCAGGCGGCAGACTTCTACGACACAGGTATTCAAAAGTTGGTCCCACGGTATGACCAATGTCTCAATTCCGGTGGCGAATATGTTGAAAAATAGCTGGACACTTGCTCTATCTGTTGCAATAAATATTTCCGTGAAATTGTGTTTTGTTTCTGTAAACGACCCCAGGGAAACTTACTTTGAGGACGCGCCTCGTAGTTGAGCAGCCAGTAAGTAAATAAAACCAAAAGCTCATTACCGTTAAACCCTGCTTAACATACCGGATATCTAGAGCGAAGAGTTGCCATCTTTCTGCTCAACCATCAAGCTAGATCAGCGGAACTATTAATAAACATGTCTTGTATATTAAGCAAATGAGAATTATCATACGCTGTGAATGATAAATGGCCTATTAAATACAGAGTCAGAGGTCTTGCAGAAAGTAAAATAACAGGCCTAAATATCTTATGTAAAATATTTTTTTGAATTTTTACATAGTTATTTCATATCTCACGTAATGGAATTAGTCTGTGATTAAATTAAAATTAATTTGCAGTTGTGAAATATTACACACGCCTCGGATTTGCGGGCTCCTGTGAACAAAGTAAAAAATCTTCAACTTCCATAAGTTACTTACAGTTCAGTTTCTTACACGTGGCCGCTGTGCGATGCCCTATTTAATCATACGAGTCCAACAACTGGTTACGGCCCCGGGAGTGTGGGTTCGCTCATCTGAACCTTAACTACTTACTAGCACAATGTACCAAAAATTTAAACTACAAATACTCCCCCCCCCCCCCCCCCCTCCCCACTTCACCACGCGAGCTGCTCAGCGGCCAAGCCAAAAAAACTGAACTGTAGTCAGCACAGCTACGCACCTTTTCGGTATAACAGTTAATGAAAGATTCTGCAGCCTATTTTATTGGCCCCAGTATTAATCCTGTAACATGACGTCACAGGGGCTCCCCTAGCAGTGTCATTCCCCCACTTTTTCCTGGCTCATGAAGACTACCTGAACGACGTCACGGGACTCCACCCTCAGAAGGCGCTCCATGCAACTACTTTACACTTCGAACCTGTAAGTAGTGTCTGTAACTTCCTGATGGGGAGGTCACTTTTTCGTATAGCCCACTCCAAAAATGCATTTAGAAATGGAGAATAGGGTAACTGACAAACCCTTGCTCGAAATTGCTTCATTTTGATGTTAAATAGATAGTCCACGAAAAATTTATAATACAGCCTTACTAAATTATCAGCCGCGACCTTTAGCGTGCCTAGAAATTGCGGCAGTGAAATTAGAATCCTAATTTCTGCACCAGCTTGTTTTCCTTTTACTGAACTTCTTCAAGACAGCCGTTTTTAACGTTCAGTGTGAATACTATAAACATCACTTTCTTGGCTACCAGCACATGAAATTCACATTTATTACAATAGCAAATTTTCTCTATAACTTATTTTTAAATATTGCAGTTAACAGGTACTCCAATGCTGGGATATAAGAGACTTCAGTTCAACATTATTATACGCAAAGTCAACAAATTCGCCCCTATGAAGAATTTGCGTGCCATGTTATTTCCAATTTTTTGGGTTGATGAGGTAAGATACAGAGCCATGAAATTAGTGGTACTACTAGTTGTAGTGGTATTAGTAGGCGATATTACAGCAATGCCACTGTTAAATGTGCAAATAGTGTCATCAATATTAATCAAGGGGCTACTGAACTACTTAGCCATTACATGATAAAAGTTTGCATATCCAGAGAACATTTGCTCTTCAACTTTTATCATTCATTTTTAACTTTAAATTTTGTACATAACAACATTTCTTTAATTGTTGTTAATAAATTGCAGACTAAAGTAGATCTATAGTCGTAAAGTTATAAGCGATATACACTAAAAATAAAATTTGTCATAAAATATAGTACTTACACATAGTGTATTTACTAATACGGGCCCCAACAATCCTTATTAAAACCACTCTTTATGTTACGCAGGGTTTGGAATTGGACGATAAGTACGTAAGCCAGATGAAGAGTATATTTACAATCTTCAGTATTGTAGACGCCGTCAAGTGGATAATGGTTGTAGTTGGTGGAATTCTGTCAGCAATTGGATCGTTTCTCCTAATCCAGAAGTTAACAAACGAGGCAGTAATTGCCTTGGGAAGGAATTCCCCAGAAGTCTCGCCACTGGACGTTGAGACACCCCCTCGTTACTGAACATGAATTCGACTAAAACCCAGTGCTTGACGCTGCAAATGCTGATATAATTGTTTAATTAATATACCGATTTCGACAGCCAATCAACAGAGTACAAATCTGCAAGAATCGGCTTCACAATTTTATAACTCTCCTTGTCATCTAAAACATGAATGAAAAATGTAATAAAAAGTGGAAAAATCAAATACTTTTCTGAGCGAGATTTTAGATTTTCGTGGCTGTGAGTATAGAGGTTCTTGCTGTCTCCGTCATCAGCGCTACGTTCTGAGTTGTTACGCCATATAACCTGGTAGAAGTTTATCGACGTTTGAGAGGTACTTGCTGCCTCCGTTATCAGGGCGAAGGGTAATGAATAGCAGATTACACTGTGCAACACCCCAAAAGACAAGTCCTTACATATTAAAATATATGTTAGCAATTATAACCATCTGCAGGAGAAGCGAGAAAAGAAGAGATATGAGATCATGTCGCAGTCAATAAATATGCCCTAATAGAATTATCAACCAACATTGTTGACTAGGTTTGTAACGAAATGCTGTGAGGCTTGCTGATCTGATGTATAAGCGGAATCAATTTGGACAAAATATCTGTGCTGGGTCGACTAATAGCATTCGTTGTACATGGCATGTCAGCAGCTTCCTAGCATCCTTGCACTTTCTACATGTGGCTTATTTTTAGTCCTATTTGTAAAGCTCCCACCTTTCTCCATCCTATGAGTTGTCCCTCCTCGCAAACATAATCGGCCAACTCTCCATCAGCCCCTTGTTTTAAATTATTCGTGTGTTCTTGGAAGAGTTTAATTAATTCATACTCTCAAGTAAGGACCCACCCTCACGCGATGTTGTTAATTACTGTAATATCCAGCGAGCGGTCTGTAGTCTGAAGTTTATTTCAGTGACCCTGATCCGATTTGTCCCATGGTATTCATTTTAACACGATTTAGGCCAAAGACCATTGTAGTTTCATCCATTGAACATCATTTCATGGCATACGACGAGGATTTTCAAAAGAAGAGAACCAATCCTAAAGATAAAATTATTGAATGAGTATTGTAGTGTAATTTTTACGCTATTTGTTGCTAAAAATCAGCGTTCTTACTTGTACTTGAATGTCACATTTAAACGCACCTCATTACCTTACGTGACAAGAGATGACTTGCTCATAACTTGTTTGAGTAGCTGTAGGTACAGCTTTAAAAGTATATTATAAAATGGATATGTGTTGATCTATGCAAAAATTATTTTTTTGTATGATTTGTTACTATGTACTTCCTCATATGGGTTGTTGCGCCTTGTAGTCATTACGACATGGTGAAACTTCTGATCACTATTAGGAATTTGACTAACCATCCTGTTAACATCAATCGCCATGTTATTCGGAAGAAGATTAATTGTTCTGTAATGGGTGATGTTCTATGTGTGAAGATCTAAGTATGCCGTATTTGTTTTTCGTATCATTTTGAATGTATAAAGTTCTTTTGTGCTCAACCTGTGTAAAATTTATGAAATTTCAGTGTTAATTCCGAATATTGCGAAAACTATAAACCTTCTGGTATCATAACAGGCGAAGAATTTCTTGGCAAGCTAAGGAACTATCAGCTTCTAAAACGCTACACTCTCCCATGGAGATAATTAAGATACTGAAGTAGTTTGAAATGTGCAATATATAATTTTCCCTCCTAAAATGAAATTATCCACATGATTTAAATTTGGTAACTGACTTATAATAGTACATCACTTTTTTAACTTCGTCTTTATCACAATTTTGCATGTAGTGGGATTAATTTTTAAACGGCCATTTCTGTTATTGGTCATTAATATTAAAATTCGGTGAATGAAAACACCTTCGTCTTAAGACGTCGCCTGTTTCAGTTTCTGCCACACTGAGGGAAATTCAAAACCATTTTATACAGAAGAACGGATTTAATGAATCCGTACCTCTTCGCTGTGTTAACTTTGGTTTAAATTGATCGAAACGTAGACAGAGCTAACAATATAATGTAAATTACAGAAATATTGTAATTTTCTTAATTCGATCCCGACCTCTCGAATACGAAAGAGACACGTCAACTGTGACCTACTTTTTCCCCATAGCGATTTTCGCTACATGAACTTTGTACTCGTGACATTATTCCAAAGGCAACTTCGGCGGAACTTTAGAACCTCCCCTTAATTAGTCATGGAACTCTTCACGGATGACGTCCTGAATGAAGCCACCAATGACTCTGCGATCGGCAACTCCAAATTATCTGCATGCCATCATCACTTACCGATTGTTTGAGCGGAAAATGTAGTACGCACGCGCATCGGCAATTCTTGGGGCGATGACAGCTCGGTGACAGAGGCCTGACACAGTGCCTGGAATAATTCGGAAGTGGGGATAGTAGAGTAACTACTTACCCAGTTTCGAATTTACTCCATCATCTTCGGAACAGTCGAGATCACCTGCCGTATATGACCACTTATGCTGTTCCAATGAGCTTGCACCCCGCAGGAAGAGGATAATACATTTCCTTCTAATCCACCGATCACGACTTCAAAATGCAACGTAAGTTATAACGAACTTGTTTGTATTCTTATTTTAAATTATATGAAGATGACTGTCTTCTGGGCTGTAGCGCCGCGTAATTTGGTAGAAGTTTCAAAGCTCCTTGCTGCCTCTACCATCATTAGGCACTTCTACTTGTGATCTACGAACAAGAACTACTGTAACTGTTTTAATTCCTACTTTCAGAAATTATAAAATATAGTTTCAGTGTGAAGAGTTCAGTATTCTGGGTTGTTGCGCTGTGTAGTCTGGTCGATGTTTACCAACGTTTCGGAGGGCATACTGCCTCCGTCATCAGGGCGATGAGTATGAAGATTTCTGTCTTCTGGGTTGTTGCGCTGTGTAGTCTGGTCGATGTTTACCAACGTTTCGGAGGGCATACTGCCTCCGTCATCAGGGCGATGAGTATGAAGATTTCTGTCTTCTGGGTTGTTGCGCTGTGTAGTCTGGTCGATGTTTACCAACGTTTCGGAGGGCATACTGCCTCCGTCATCAGGGCGATGAATATGCCAATAGGGTGTGTGGGGCTAGGTTTATAGGGCCGGAAAGTGAAAGGTGTAGCCTGCCCCGAGTTGGAATCGAAACCCTAACGTTCAATCACTAGATTCCCACTGCTACCTTCTAGAAAACTCAACGTAACTGAGCTAGTGTACTCGCGCTTAACAGTCCCGACAGAGACATGGATGGATGAACACTTAGACCCAGTCCCTTGCTTCAAACGACGCATTCATTCTCTCTTGCAGCGTTCTGCAGGAAGATGAGACGTGAGTGCTGACTGGTCTACTCGCCAAGTTACTTTCTTGTGCTCTGTCATTATCTGAAATATATTTTCACTTTTTGATTTCGTAACGAAAAACAAATTTATTGTTGTGTGCAGTTTCTTTACAGAAGTTGCCTGCCAAATGGATTGGTGTGTCCGGTTTAATTATGCTCGTCTTGGGCTCAGGTGTCGGATTTTACGGTTTCCCCGCTCTGATACGCAGCCAGATAGCATCGGTAAGTTGAAACAACGAGAAAACATAAAACTAAGTCATTAGCTCTGAAGTTAAAGTTTATGTTTGTACAAGTATCCCTAAGCAGACAGAAAATTCAATATTCTGTTGTAATTAGAAGTCGCATGCTTTCTGGGATGCTGCTCCGTATAGTTTGGTAGATATTGACCAACGTTACAGAGGTTATTACCGCTTCCTTCATCAGGGCGATAAGTGATAAGCCTGATAATGGTCAATAAGTACCAGACTACACGGTGCAATATTCCAGAATACAGACACCTCCATGCTCTTAACAGCATTAACTTTAAATCTCACCTCAATTATGACAATTGATCATTGTCTTGAATGAATTTTTTAACTGCGCTGTATAGTTACATTAAGTGTATTGTGATGTGCAGATTACCCACTGTAGTGTATTTCATTGCTGTCTGTTAGTCATCGGAGGCTAATTTTTTCAAATAAAAATAAGCCAGAGAAGAAGTATCAATGAATAAGTCAATTGTGCCTATCGACTGTCTGAATGGCAATTTGAAAACCCGCTTCTGCAGTAAAATTATATGTTAGGTAAAGGTTTTAGTAACAAATAATACAAGGTGAATTTCCGACCTTCAGCTGGCAATGTTACATAAAATGTACGCATGTTAATAACATACAATTTTATTACATAGTAAATATTACCTTAGTTGTAGTTCTAGCAGAACTGGCTTTCATCTGTATTGTCTGTTTCTGCTGCATTTTTGTATTTAATTAGTGATGATCACTCACCATAGAAGTTGACAGAGTTTCTGTTAATCAATAAAATACATGCCACAGTTTCAGTAAACTTCTTTCTACTGGAACGTGATCCAGTAATGTAACAAGCAATTTACTCAGAATTCAAAATCAGCGTGTGATGTAGATCACATTGAATCTTCAACTTCTTTAATTATCTGCTGAAACCTAAATATCTCTGAAAGTTTCTCAAAATAATTCTGGCGATAAATGTGTTTTAAGTCTGACGTTTTGTTATGTTAGGACGTAAATATCTGTTGTCTTCTGGCTGACTGAATAACATCCTAGTTACACTAGGTTTAATGGTTGGCACTCTGCTTCGTATTCTGAAGGTACCGAATTAAAATCTCACTCCTGCTACCGACTGTCCTACCTGGGTTTACCGTGGTTTCTCTCAGTCCTTCTAGGTAAACGCCGGGATAGTATTTTCAAATAGATCTCTGCCGTTTTCTCCCTTATCCTTTATACTTTATTATTCACTAATCATCCCATCATTAGTTACCACATAAACTTATCTATTGATAATGTCGTTAGTTACACCATAAAATATAATAAATGCAATACATCAAGACTGGACTCGAATGCCGGCTTCTTTTGTATTGAAAGCCCTACAACATTCACTCATAGCTCTGAAATGTAGTTCTTAATTTGATATTTATAATAGCAGATTATAAGCGATATTTATAGGGTGTATAAAACATTGTAGACGCTTGAATTATTTGGTGCTAGAGTGGAAATTATGTAAGAGGACGTGATAAACTTCTTCCACTAATGACTGTTACATCTGCAATTGATTTTGAGGCACGAAAAATATCTGGATGGAATGGCCTTCGAATCGACAGACAAATACAACATACCTACAAGGATACATAAAACATGTAGATACATATGACTAACATCTATCCACGAGGAAGATTCAATACCAGCAGAATTCCGTTGTAAACGTCAGAATCATGTTGTGTTAGGAAATGGATTTCATAAGACTGACCTTGTCACAGACGTAGCATTTATATTGTGGTATAATCTGTAATTTCAGTAAAATGCTTTGTTATTATAGTAATTTAGTTTCAAATGTTGGTTTACCTGACACTGCAATTAAAGAGTTTCCTGATTTCTGGGTTTGTTTCCGGTTAGTTTCCCGGTGGTGTATGCAGTAGCTACAAACATTTTCCATTTCTGTAACAAAATCCTTCATCATCAACGTTTAAGCATGTCTACTCGGTATATAAAATACCCGCAAAGAATGAGCTCAGTTCCAACGTCGATTGATTTCAGTTTTTTTCGTGAGTAAAAGGCTTAAGACTGAATGACTTCTTTCATGCAGGATTTGTGGTTTTAACAGCGGTAGAGTCTGAAGGTATCTGTCTTTTGGGTTGTTGCGCCGTGTAGTCAGGCAGAAATTTACCGACTTTTCAGAGGTCCTTGCTGTTTCCATCATCAGGGCGATAAGTATTCATATCGAAGCGAGAGAATGTTCGTAGTAATGTCATGAAATGAGCTTTTAAATTTACTTGTAGAAGATTTAACTTTATACGTGGATTTATAACGTACTTCAGAAAACAGGTCGCATTAATGTGCCGTTCTATATGCTTGAGGGTTTGCTGTGTTTCTGTATTCGAAAGAGCTGATCTCATAATGAACTACGGATCGATATTTCGTGAAAAATAGAGATACAATGGGGGTTGTACATTTTAAAGTTGTCCCATTTCCTTTCGAGGTTGTAAAGTATCTTAGTACCGAATTTATTTAATCAATAGCTAGCTTCTTCCACATTTTTAGAAGAACGTAAGGTGAATTATTTAAGAACGTAGCTTACTCTATTATTATTCCTCAACGTAATGCACTCATTTTATTTTTTAAATAGAAATGTCAAGCTTGCTGCATTCCTTTTTCTTCCATGGCGCTGCATTCTTATGTAACAAACTGCAACGGCGTGTTATTATTTGCATTAAAGCATTATTGCTGACTGTGGTCACAGCAACACAGCAGAATTGTATTTAACAGTTCAAATATCAGCAGTCACTAAATAACAAATGGCTGAAAGAAGATGGCTATCTTCTGGGTTGTTGGGCAGTGTACTCTGGAAGAAGTTTACCGACGTTTCAGACGTGCGTGCTGTTTACGTCATCAGGATTATTCGTACTGATGAAGGAAGTAAGTACCTCTGAAACGTCGGCAAGCTTCTGCCATGTTGCACGGCGCAACAATATAAAAGAGAGCTATCTTTATACTCGCCGCCGTGAGAACCTGAAATATTACAGAATGGTAATGGATCCCTTGTAATTATCATCAAGCGAGTGATTTGTGCATAACGAATTGTAGTATTTTCTTCTTCTGTTCTGTAATATTACATTATAATATATTTAAATGTTTGCTTCAAAGGATGTATTATTTGAAGCCAAGTGGTAGGTAACTCACCATATTCCCATATACCTGACCATGACATAGATACTTTATTGATGTGTATTTCTTGGGTCAAACACATTCGGTTAAATAGCTAAGTAAAGACTACAAAATGCTACACGATACTAAAAAAATTAGCACGTTACGTAATGTTATATTTTTTCTTGAGCTGTTACGGATCCTTGAGGAGAGTATAGTATCAAAGTGGTTCTTACAGAAAAACGATATGAAAATTTTGACAGGATTCATGTAGTTATGGACAGGGACCAGCCATATCTTTTTGTGATCACGGTACTAAATAATCGGGCCCTATAAAAGATGGGAATTACTTAATCATCTGAGCGAATGTTGTTCTTTATTTCTTCATGAACTTGGTTCAGAAAGTGTGTAGGAGCCATGATAATTTCAGATATTGTCAATTCTAGCTCCCAGGAATTTTGAATCAGTAAGTAACAGAATTCGAAGCGGTACAATTTGCCCTTTAACTTTCTCTGGAATTTTATAATACATCAAAGCCTAATTACGGTAACCTCAAAACTGTATCAAAGATATTTTTAAAATATTTCAGTCAAGCAGTTACAAAGAATGCATAATGATGATCAATAAGAACATGTAATGTAGATACGTTTCAATCACTTCTCGTCGTTTTAGATGAAATGTAGCTTTTGATACATGTATAATTTAAGTGGCATGATGCAGATCGAAAGCAGTCCAAATTAAATGTCGTTTTGAGAAAAATGAAATCACGTAAACTATTGGAATAACCTCATCTATTATTCTCTTTGTGAAGCAATTAAATATTAAAGTCAAACGAATATCATCATTATGGCTCTATGACGCCAAAAAGTTCATCGCGGTATATCAATTATTCATGTCGAACTACACTCTTAATTACTGGATTCTTCCTGAGTTCGGCTGATACAAAAATAGCTCCAGTGGTTATACATCAACAAATCGAATCTTTTACAGGATAATTGAAGGTTTACAAAATTATCGAATATAACAAATGATGTTCAAATAAAACAATAAGAGGTAGATTGTTTTCAAGTGTCTGACTTGCAGTAACCATTAGTATGTCCATCATCGGAAAATGGAGGCAGTAAGCTCCTCTGAAACGTCGGCCAGTATCCACCAGACTAGGCGATGCCATAGCTCAGCTCGGAGGCTTGCATTTGTTCACAGGGCATTCCATGTGTGATTTCAGGTAACCAAAGTGGCACCGCGGTAGGAGGTTTTTCTCGGGCCCTTCACTCTCCCCCTGTAAATATCATTCCAACGCCGTTCCATGTTTACTTCTTGTATAATCTGGGGGATGGATAATGAACCCTTTAGAAGCTGCAGTTCCGTACATAGTCTTATCCCATCGCAATGATAAAACAGAATCTACAAGACTATATGTGCTACGTTCTTCGTCTAAACAGCATTAACAAAATTTCGAAGCTGTTGAAACCTTTATATAACATGTATTTATAATGTAAATCTATAGCTCATATTACATACGTGGGCCTGTTTTGTACGTTGCATAATTATATTAAGATGTTTTACAATTTGTGTTCCAGAATTTAGCTCTGAAGAAAGGTTCTGATATCAGAACACTCTGGTCAAAAATTCCAGATGGGATTGACTTCAAAATATACATGTTCAACATAACAAATCCAATGGATGTACAAGTAGGAAAGAAACCCATTGTTACAGAAATCGGACCCTACTTCTACGAGTAAGTGTTGTTGTTCTGGTTTCCATATAGGTCTATATTAATGGCAAATACATTAATTTGTTCTTTATGCACCCTTGAGAGTGTAGAGCTGCTTTGGACTGCATTTACTTTACTATAATTCATTCGTTATCAACTTTGGCACGCATTGCAATGTTGCAGAATGAAAATTCATTTTTGATTTGGGTACCACAGCTGCTGTAAGTAGTAGGTAGAAACTATGCACTTGATATCCTTCTGTTCAGAATAATTTACCTCGCCGTCACCTACTTGAAAACTGAAATACCTCGCTTGTTAGTGTTACCAATAAGTAGACTTAACATAGTTAAAAATTATGTTGTAAAGTTTGTTAAATGCCGTGGTTGCTGATTTAATCACTGTGCGTGCGTGCGTGAGTCTATATATATATATATATATATATATATATACACACACACACACACACACACACACACACACACACACAGTCTGACTGAATTTACTAACTTTGCAGAGAGTACAAGGAGAAGCTGGATCTCAAAGACCACAATGAGGACGACACGGTGTCATTTAATCCAAGGGATTATTTTATATTCAAAAGGGAGAAGTCTGGAGGATTAACAGGAGACGAAGTGATTACTATACCGCATGCTGCCATCTTGGTAAGATAAGCTTAGACTCTGCTTCCAGCATTATATCACGTTTTTTAAAAAAAAATAGAAATGTATATCAAATGTTAGTCGCAAAATTAAATTTGATCTAAGCGTAGATATGAGAATAATTCTAAATTTTATTAGAAGAAATGTGGTGTGAAAGGTTAAATGAATTTATTTAACTCAAGATAGTGTCTAATGGCTAGTGGCTAAATCTTTTAACCACAACAAAACTTTAGGTTCAATAAAAGACAGTAAATTTATTGACCGAGTGGTTAACTTGTTAGTTTGAACAGAAAGAATGCGTTCCATCTATCCATGCAAGTAACTAAAATTACTTTAACACCACTGACTTCATATCTGACTATCAAACCGAATGTTAAGGACTGCTATTAAATTATTAATTTGTATCACTGCGTGACGTAATAAAACCAAGTAACAGAGATCATCCTCGCTAACCAATCACGCTTTGTTTTATGCCAATATCAAACGTTGCTTAGATATTTTTTTCAAGAGAATGGAAACATAACAGTCACAAGCAATGTTTGTTTTTGAAGAAAACATATACTACGACTTTTCTTCTGCTGATCTAGACACAATACGTAACACATTAATAACATTAGGACCATGTGACAACTCGAGAACCTGTCGCAACCTGAAGTTTGTTATGCGTGTTGCTTGCCCACAGGCGATGGCTCTCGCTGTTGAACGCGAGAAGCCTGCAGCCCTGAAGCTAATCAACAAGGCCATTCCGCACATCTTTGGTCACCCGACGTCAATCTTCCTAACGGCTCCAGTCAAGAACATTCTTTTCGAGGGAATTCCTCTGTACTGCAACGTTACTGACTTTTCTGCTAAAGCCATCTGTTCAGAAATACGGAAAAAGGACAAAGACTTCCTAAAATTAGGGGACGATATTTTTGGCTTTTCATTCTTTGGAACGGTTGGTTTGCTCTTTAACCTAATGAATTAATATACAATATATTATTTATTTCCCGTATACACATAAATCATATAGTTGTTTAATTAATAATTCCAAATAAATAGATATTTAGACGCTATATCAGCTGCTGGCTGATTCTCATGTTCAACATAAATGCTAATACATCATATTTATTCTTCATATGTGTGAACTGTAATAATACTTTTCTAAAATTGATTAATCAAAGGATAAAATCAATCACCAGATTATTATTCAAGTAAGTCACATTAATTAGACCAAACTAAGAATATTTAAATGGCTTAAAAAGAGATTCAGAAATATGTTCTGCGGTTTCTTGTCTACGTGTTCACGTTATGTGACATTTCATACGTTTATATAACCTACATAATATATATATTTCTTCCATATTAGATAACTGACATAAAATTGTATATCTGTCCTTATATATGGATTTATTTCATTGAATTAATTCTTCACTATCCGTCAAAAATTATCCACGCATTAATCAAACAGTTCTCTCTATCCCTCCACTAAAAACATAATTGTACATGAAGAATACATTAATAAGATAGTTTAACGTTCCTATGTTGCAATACAGAAACAACATTACAGACTTTATATCCTTAACTGATTACAGATATTTCTAAAACAATCTAAACGCTTCCTCCTTCAATAAAATGGAAATTTACGGTGACCAATAAAACTGATTCTCTGTTTCCGCAAAACGATCCCTATAATGGAGGAAATAAAAGTATAACTGGTCTGCTTACACACAGAAAAACAACAGCGCTGGAGGGAGGTTCAGGGTGAAGCGTGGAATTGAGAATATCAAAGACCTGGGGCAAGTTGTCGAGTTCGAGGGTCAGAAGCAGCTGTCGGTGTACGACGGTGATGAGTGCAACAAGTTCAGAGGGACGGACTCCACCATCTTCTCGCCCTTCCTTACCACGAGCGACAAGATCGAAGCCTTCGCTCCCGACCTCTGCAGGTACAGCCGTGTTAAACAAATTCTGGGGCTGTTTTATTATTTAAATTGCAACAACCAAAGCACGACTGAACCTATTATCGAACTCCGCAGAGCAAAGTCCTTAAGAAACTAAAGAGAAATCGCCGCTTTTTATGGAAACCGAAATCGTATCTACAAGAATTCATTTGATAGTTTTGTTCTGAACCAGCTGAGTGAAGTTTGCACTCTCGCTCCTCACTTCTGTTTGATAAATTTTAATGTCATCCTTCCAGCTATGCCAAAGTCTTCCAAGTGGGCACTTTCTTTCATATCTTCCAACTAGAAATTTGTACCAATTCCACATCTTCCTCGTGCGTGCTATGTGTTCCGCCCATCTTATACTCTCTTACATGATTATTCTGATAATAATTGGTGACGAATTAAAATTGCATTAAGTTTGTTATTATGTAATATTCTCCATCCTGTAGTAAGTTCCTCTTTCTTACGTCCAAAACTTCTATCCAGAATTTTGTTTTTAAAAATTATAGTCTCGTAGTACATCGGTCATATAAATAATATAAAAAATTAAACATATTTTTAAGCTGAAACTTACGACATTAGTGTATTATTACTATCCACTGGAAACGTTTTTTAAAAAAGTTAGTATGTACAGTATTAAATTTTTCATAAAATCCTTTCTGTTATTAGTAAATATTTAAACATTTAAGTAGTGTATATTTGTAAATAGACTTACGCATTTGTTACATTTGTGTGTGTTTTCTTTCATTTTTGCAAATTTTTGGGGTTTATGTCATCCTGGAAAATAAATTTCTCAACCAACCCGGATAATTGGGAGTCTACACTGTATGGTGCATCCTTGAAAACGAGGCAACAGAAACTCTACATGGGAGTAAAGGATTTATTAACACAAACCATGTTTTACATTTGCAAATTGAATTACTTTCAACATCTCGAAGTACACTGTATCAAATAAGCTATAGGTTATTCACACTTAATGTTTATTTTCATGTGTCTTCCAAATTAAGACAGACGTGTTCATTTCCCCTCTCAGGTCCATAGGAGCAGAGTACAAGGAGTCCATAGTATACAAAGGCATACACAGCTTCAAGTACAGTGCTGATTTCGGTGACATGTCCTCTGACCCCGAGCTCAAGTGCTTCTGCACGACACCGGACACGTGCATGAAGAAGGGTGTCCACGACCTTACCAGGTGCTCAGGTAAGACCCAGACGCAGTACCTAGGCTCGATGAGAGTTCGAACATTTCACTTAAAACTACGATAAAAACCTACTTATTAAGTACGTTTGCATTGTGTTAGAAAATGTTGCTCAGTTGCTGTTGAAACGTAATGAAGATTTTGAAACATTAAAGAAACAAAATCAGCAATAAGAGTGAATAATAACAATAACGATAATATTAAATTTCTGCGCGTAGATTAGTGTCTAGTCCAGTCTTCCGCAACTGGTGTGGCGCCACAAAGTTTTGTGTGTGCCGTGAATTTTTGTAAAAAAAATCATCTAACCGCGTTTTGTAGTTACAAATAGGCAATATCTTTTCTTTCTCAATTCAAATTCGTAATACATGTATATACACATTGGTTCATCGCCGATAGTTTTACTCAGCATGTGTTAGGTTTTCTCTTCATTTAAGTTAATTCATGCATTAATTTCAGTCACGTTTTATTTTGTTTTATTTTCATATGCCTGAATTCTTTAAGGGCAAGTGTTTATATGCAAATACATATTTATGGTCATGTATAGTTTCGTACCCCCTTTTTGTAAAATCTCATTTCGTTTGGGCGTGTCGTCATGTCTTTGATAAAATAGGATGTGCCACGGGTAAAAAAAGGTCTAGTTTTCAAGTACAGCTTCTGGAATTCTACATCACACACAGCTAAAGCTAAAACTATTGACATGAATAGTTCCAAGTGTGAAAAATGCAATATGTAGTCACTGTTAAATATCTGCCGTCGCATTATTTCACAAACAGGGGCTCCCATCATAGCTTCCCTTCCACATTTCTACGACGCAGCTCTCGAATATCAGACAGGAGTGATCGGTCTCAACCCCTCGAAGGAGAAGCACGAGATATTGATGGTATTCGAACCGGTGAGTGTGTCACGAGATAGTGCAGTCGTTTATAAAGACACTTCCACTCTTTTGATCACCGCCACTACGCAGGACAGCCAGTTTTGGGTCGCCTGTAAGGCAGGCTTTATGATACACTAACTCTTTGCCGAAGGCATATTAGGGCCTGGCTGAAACTATAAAAGCGAACAGAACAAACGCGAGTGAGATTTCAGGTTCTCACAGCGACGAGTATGAAAATTGTTGTCTTCTGTGATGTTTGACCGTGTACGGCCACAGCACTGATAATGGAGGCAGTAAACTACTCTGAAACGTCGGTCAGTATGTACGATACAACACAGCGCAACGTCCTAGAAGACAGCCATCTTCATACGGATCCATCAGATGATAACATTTAACCTGTAATTCCCATTGAATGCATTTTGAGATGCAATATTTCAAGTCTGTACAAAATGTAATGTAAATCTATGCTATTTCTGAATGTTTCTGACGAAGTTGTGGTATAATAAGTTGAGATATGTGCTCATTACCTATCGTCTTGCTTTAAAAATCTCACACCAATGCGATAGATAACATTACAAAAAATTAAAACTTGTCAATTAGGCCTACGGCCACTTTGTGCTGCGATTTTATCCTGTTTCTTTGTGTTCTTGTGACGAGGACAGTAAATTTCCCACGTAATAACCAGATAAATGGAATATAGGATTTTTGCTAACAATTTTACGTAAATCAATAAATTTTCCAGAAGACACCAAAACTTTTAAAATCTGCAATGAATGTTGTATAGTTACTAGGTGCTAGCACAGGCCCGTATAATACTTATGTACAGTAAAGAATGTCTTTTGGTCACGAAATAAGTAAATATTATTAAATTATAGAAAATAACGTATTTTAAATAAGGCCCTATTCATGTTGGTGTATTGAGAGGTGGGGGCTCTGCAGCAATATGCCAGCTGCTACACCCCCTTCCGTTCCGGTTGCTAGATGCCTTGAATAGATCCCACACAATTATTCATTGGCCGTGTGCATTTCAGATGACGGCCACGCCTCTAGTTGGATACAAGAGACTGCAATTCAACATCGCGATTCATCCAATAGACAAAATTGATCTCATGAAAGAAATTCCCACAGTTCTTCTCCCCATCCTGTGGGTGCAAGAGGTGAGTTTGCAGTTCAGTCGTCTGACTTCGTCTTCTCTTCCAGCTTCTTACACATTATAGTAAAACTAACTCCACAGAAGAGTCCTTCTTCAGGAAGAAATATACAAGAAGTTTTTCGTCATTTATGTAACCTGATAGTTTATTACCTGTTCACAAGAACCCGCCACTGGTCTTTATTATGAACCAAGTAAAACCAGTCCACGCCCTCTTTTCCTACTTTATAAGATCAGTTTTAATGTTATCCTCCCATATTTTGTTTTCCAAGTTGTCTCCTCCTTTCAGGTTTTCCGATTAGAATTTTTTTATTACCTTACCTTCTACTTCAGGTGTGCTACATGTTCCAGTCACTTTCATCTTGTATACAGTTTTCCCCTCCAGATAGGAAGGACTGCATAAAGTAACAAGAAAAAGGCTACGCATTCTATCTGGCACAAAGATTGTTTTTTAAATTTATCTCCGACATATGATTTCTATTAAAGATATTCCTGTTTTTTATCGAAATGGAAATATAATGAAGAAGACTGTACTCAAACGTCATCCTATGTTTTGCATGCACTTCTGTTCTCCTTAATCCGTTTCACTTAACTAGTCCATCTCAATTTAACTATTCCGACATACCATATTGATAATATAAATTAGATCTATGAAGCCCCTGGTTTTGTAATTTTCACCACTCTTGTACGTTCATATCTTTAAGGTCTAAATATTTACGTCAATTTGCTTCCAAACAACTTGAATTACTGCTTATTCTTTACAGTGAAGAACCGTGTTGGACAGAATCACAGTCTAGTTCTTTGAAATGAAAATGAAAACGTTAAAGATTCTGCCTGGACTGAATAATTCCGCATATTTCCTGAAGATTTCCGACTGTTGATTTCAGCAGTAACATTATTTTTATTTGTTATCGGTATCCTTTACGTACTTCTTCGTAACAGTTCCAAACTATGCATAAGCTATTATACAATACTGTATATTATTATTATGTCCTACATTTCGGTTACTGGGCATAAAATATAGTTATGATTACTTACATTTATTTAAGACATATACAACTAACGACTTCTAAAACTTAATTCTTTGCTACAATTGTCCATTCTCTTTGCACACTTCTACTCCTATAGTTCAGCGTATTACCAGTTCATAAAATCGTATTTAAGTCGCCAATGTACTTTGTCATGTAGGGAATGGAGCTCAAGCAAGAGTACCTAGACAAAGTGGGCAGTATCTTCAAAATCATAGGAGCAGTGGACGTGCTGAAGTGGATCCTGATGGTGGCAGGGGGAGGTCTCGGAGCTGCAGGTGCACTCATAGGATACCGCAAGAAATCCAACGAAATGGATGTTGAGGTGTCTCCAAGTGTACCTAGGAAACCCACAGGAATCTCCCCTCTGGACGTTCAGACACCACCTAGATACTGAAACGTTCTGGTAACAAGAATTACATCATCAAGTTCGACAATTGCAGTCTCCAGTGTAATTTAGACTCGCAAATATTCAAAAACTGCAGCTGAACTGTGATAACAAACTAAAGTACAGTTTCAAGGACTTTTACTATTTTACTGGGGGCACATATTAGAAAACGAATTTCTACAAAACGATGGCCCAACATCTAAGTTTTGTTAATTAGGACTCAATTTATGGACCATTCTTAGTTGCTGTGAAAACATTGGATTGAATCTCGTATCTCGATATTCTGGAACTATTCTTTTGCCACAGCTGGGGCAGGACACCGAGGTACAAGACTTCCTGTTCTAATAACAATGTGCTCCGCTCTGTTATTACTGCAAGGGTCACATCTTTCCATGATGCCACCCCCCCCCCCCCCCCC